TACCGTAGCAATATTTGCAAATCATGATACTTTTCTCTCCCCTTATAAATTAGAAGTTATTGGAATATTGTCTTCATTGTCCCGAAATCAGCTCACTATATAAAAATTAATCGTCAAAATTTAGCTTGAAATATTATATTTGTGGAAGTTCACAACAACCAGGAAGTGAACTGGAACCGACCTATACGAAATGATTGATTTATGGATCGATATGTTCTCCAGGTGTAGGAATGATATCTTTCTCTCTAAGAAGCGTATCAGTGATCCAATGGTTCTCATTTGTTTCCCAGCAATACCCCAGGGACCACTACCCTCAATTAAAATCGAATACTGTCAACTGAGACTGTGTACCAGGTTTTTTAAAAAAAATTTATGGAAAATAATGTTAAGCCAGTTTTTCATTCACTTCACTGCACCAAAATTATTTCAGTCTAACGGAATTTATAGTATTAAATAATTCCGCTGTTCATTGGTCTCAGTTAAAGCAACGAAAGAAGGCAAGCCACACAAGGGTTAAATAGAGTGCGTGTACGACCTTCTTCATTCCGCATCCCACCGCGCTTAATCGTTTGTATCTTAGCATGCAATTAAACATAAATAAATGGAAGCAAATAAATGATAATTTATAAGAATAAAAACAACAACGAAAACACAAGCACACACACATGCACAAACGGCAGCATCAACTTCTCTTTCCACAAAAGCTGTTTGTATAACCTGAAACAATGCGCATGCGCGTGAAGTTTTGAAGTTGTTTCAAGCAGTTTGAACAGCAATTCTAATTCTTCTTCTTCTTCGATACAATCTAAGTTGCCCCTACTAGCTCGTCTGCTGCTTCACCTTCGCTTAAATGGACTCTTAAGGTTTTTCGCCTAATAATAGCGTATTAACATTTCCGAATACCAAACAATCTATTAGCGATAACTTAACTCATGTCGATCTGTTTGTGCGCTTTGTCATTTGGTCATGTGCTGCGTTTAATTCTTGGGCGCTTAATTTTAAATTTTCCGCATAACGAGTTTGACAGTGGAGACTTCCAATTTTTTTTTTTTTTTTTTTTTTTGCTTTTTTGCACTGTTAATATCTTCTCAGCAATTTTGCAAATTCAGTTTTATTTCAGGAATTTTAATTGGTTTCACACTTTTTTTGCAGGCTTAGCTGTGGTTGATGTGCTATCATTACCGCTTGCTCTTGGCTTTATTCGCATTTTAATGTTACTGTTTATTAACAATTATTTTTATTTGTTGTTATTTATGGTAAGTAAACAATGATTTTCGGTACTTTATTAATTATTAATTTTTTAAAACACTAATTCTGATAATGAGTTCAGTAAAGTCAATCAAATTGGATGAGAAGCTCTTAGCTTCATATGAATTTCAGAATCACTACTGTTGATAAATATTTTAGTAGTATATAAAACGTTTATGAATTGGCGGCCAAAACAGCAAAGTGAATGCATACTGTCATACGGAAAGCCACCAAAATCTAAGTTTGTCATATTTTTATAGGATTTTTTTTTATAGATTTTTTTGTAGAAATATATATTTTTGAAAAATATGTTAAGACCAGAAATTTTCTGGATATTGTTTCTTCTTCGAGTAAGCACTGGACAAATTCATGAGTTTGCCACATAAACGGTCGCATACTCGGGCTTCGTGCGCTTGGCATTAAAGTCGCCACAGATCAAGACAGGCAAACCAGCAGCGAATTGTTTCACAAATTGCAGTAGATCGCGTCCCTGCTCGTTGCGTAGTTTCGGTAATAGGGAACCGTGTCGTGCTTCCAGGCGTGTAATTTTAACGGCAAGATTTACAACAATAGCTACTTGGTTGCTTTGCACGCGCTATACTTCGAGAAAACGTGTATCGCAATTCTTCGATTAGAATTTGTCGCGCTTGTAAAAAATAGCACAGCCATCGGGACCGTTTTTCTCCTCAATGTACACGCATGGCGAGTCGGGTTTTGGAAAGAATATGCCATCGTTATTTTGTCAACGTTCATCATAATTTCGGTCCATCTGAATAGACGGTTAATAAAGTGTATCATTTGAGCGGTTTGAGGCGTTTCGGCGAAAACATCTGTCGTAAACGACGAGAATTGTTGGCCAACAGCTCATAGATTTTTCATATAATCAGTATTTTTACAAAAATAGTTACAATAATTAGTTAAAAACCAAATACCTACGTATGGAAGTGCACAGTTTATAGATCTTAGATCTTTGTGCTTTTCTGTTCTAGGTCTCATCATCCAGAAGAAATCGGTCCTCCCGTGGACGACTTTAAAAAAAAACAATTAATTTAATGAAGGATTTTATCACCGCCATTTTGTTAAAAAATAATAATTAAAGATAATTTTTTTAAATTTCAACATATGTTCAATGAAATGGTTCAATAGAAATTTCATTCCATTTTTGGTATTCTTGAAAAAGTTTTTTTTAAAACTGAGTCTATTTACCAACCTCTAGAAAGGCTTTATTCCTTAATGTGCATGTAATTTATAGGCATAGAGAAATAATTGGAGTTTTATTTTTAACAAAATTGACAAGAGGTGCCATTCTAAGCCTAGGGGAGCTTCAACTTCATATCATAAATAGACTCGGAAGGTTAACATTCACTGCCGAGGCGACTGCTTTTTAAACAAAAAATTGAGGTGTTGTCTTTAGGGATGCTGAAGTCATTATGTCTTTAATTATCATATCAAGTTCAAATTATTTTGTTTTGGGATTAAATATTCTAAAGTTACTAATTAATTCTCAAAGCTGAAAACTTGCTTAAAATGGGTTGGGTAGTGTGACGCTCCTAAGCGCTTTTTAGACAGATTTTTGAAAGAAAACTCGTATGATATCAGGAGGTTATACGATATGGCCTATCAGTAATGATTATTTTCAATACCAATATGCAATTTATTATATTATATGTACTCGTATTTACAACACCAAATTGCATGTTCGTAGTTACTATTTTAACGAATTTATGACCCAAATGCACACATCTAAATAAATCCGTTGTATGAAGGCAAAAAGTCATAGAAAATTAGTTGAAAAAAAAATTAAGTTAAAATGTTTTCAGCGCTTACAAAGCGTCAATTATATAAAAAAAATATATATGTTTATATATATATTGATGAATTTCGATAATTTATTTTCAGACCCGATTGTTGAAAACCAATTCCGTTACATGGTTTGTTTGCAGTTTTTGATTCAAAATCTCAAAAATCTTGAAAATCGTATATGGATGGTAATTTGTATGGATCGTTTAAATGTAACAATGTATCTTTGTTCCAAGTTAGGTTGGTATAATGCGAAGCTCTTATAGTACCCATTGTACTTAATTTGTATTCAAAGCCGATTAGAATTTACAGCTGCATGCTCGGCGGCATAACAGAAAATATTGCAGTATCTTTTAAGATATCCAGCCTGTATTTTTTTGTAACTAGTGTAGGACTTTAGGCTGCTTACTTCAATATATATATATACATCTATAATTTAAATTCCATCATTTACACTGCCAGCCAAATTTATTAGCATATAACTGTACTCTTTAGCCTTCTTCGTATGATTTTATTCTAGAAAATTACTTCTCGGACAAAGTGGTACTACCGTCATATATCTATCATATAAAACATCATTAATTTGATGTTAGAAGAAATTTTCGGGATTTTGAAATATTTTTTACTTCAATTGAAGTTAAATTCCATTGCGAATTTGGAATATAAAAATAATTCTCGAAAGCATTTATTTGTTCAAAATATTAGCACATATTAGTGAATGAGTCCATATTAGTGAATGAGTCCATAGTCTTTAAAATGTCAAATAATAAAAATTACTTCTCTTTCGTGTCAATCGGAGTTTGACCGTTAACTACTCATGGCTGCAACATAAAATAACATTCAAATAATCACGTGGTGTATCATTATAATCAAGCAGCGATTTCGCAAAACAGAAAAAAAATCGAAAGAAAAATTGTGAAGCACTCTAATACACACTAAAACAATAAAAAATGCATGAAACTAGTTCAACCTACACTACAAAAAAAAAATAAAATTAATAAATAAATTCAAAGTGGAATTCGCTCATTAAAAACTAAACAACACAAAATTAGCCACGCAAATTGCAAAAGTAAATGTGCATGCAATTCAAAGAAAAAAACCGATCCTATATCCGCACAAAATCCGAAATAAAAAAAAATAAACGAGAAATGTGCCATGCATAGGAAATTTTAAATTACAACAAACAACTTTTTCCAACTTACGCCACTGGTTTACCTGAGACCGCATCGCAAGAATGCATCACGAGTGAATGAGTGGGCAAAAGAAAAAATTAAAAAAATTAAAAAGTAAAAAAGTAAAAAAAAAACAAAGAAATAACACAAATGAGGTAAAGATGCACGCAAAGCAAAAGCAAAAACAAAAGGAAAAAGTCGAAATGAACATCAACGGTCATTTGGCGAAAAAAATCAAAAACAAAAAATATCTGTCGATGCGCTTCTGGGAGATGAGCAGGTGAGCTGATGAGCAAGTGAGCTGATGAGCATGTGAGCGGCGATTGACACTATCAGCTGACTCGGTCAGATAGCAATTGCAGAATTAATAAGAAGCGAATAGCCAAAGATGTGTTGACGATAAGCTAGTAGGCAGCAGACAACAGCTGAGCGTGAAAGGCAATCAAAACAAGTGGACAACTGAGAAACAAGAGGCTCACGAAAATATGAAATTACCAAAAAAAAAAAAGCATAATTCAAGCCAACGCATCGCGAACGAAATTCAAAACTAAAATGTAATCAAATAAAAAATGTCTATAAACTCGAGCGAATGAACGTATAAACAGGCAGAGAAAGAAGCTTGTGTATTAAATAAAAGAAACATCAAGACAATGCGATGAATTCCTATAAAAAGCATCTTTAGGTTACGAACAAAGTTTAATCAGTTAAAAAAGCTCAACAAGTTGACAACGGACAAGCCGCTGCAGTCAATAAAAGCGCAAAAAAACGAGATACGAAAAATAAAAGAAAAACAGACGAAACGCGAACAAACATAAATAAACGGTCAATAACGGATACTCGATTTGTGATTTTAAATGTGCGGTTATACGTAACGGTGTGTCAATAAAGGAGTAGTCCAACGTTTGACTGCATACATATGCTTGCATGTGTATGTGTGTGTGCGTATGTGTGCCTGTACTGAAACCAAAGTGAGAACAAAAGACTTAAGCAACAAACTTGCAAAGCGGCTAAAATAACTGAATTTAGTTTTAATTGCATGAGCAAAAAAAAAAGTGCTGAATAAACTGTTAAGGCGTGCTCTTCATGAATTAAATATTTTAAATTCCCTCAACAAAACTTCGGTGGTGATTTCAAATAATATCGAATTCTACAAAAATGTTGCAACATGTGAGAAATTCAAAAATTATTTAGAAGAAAAAAAAACAAACTGTGGCCACAAGGTATAAGTGTTTAAGGTGCCAAAATCTGCTTCAGAGATATAGAGGATTAAACACAATTTTTTCCCCCAAATTTCAAGCTGTACACAGTTTTGTGTATTATTACTGTTACAACAGTATCACTCCGAAAGAAGGCAATCAACAAATCGAAAGTTTTAGAACATTTTTTTTTTAGAATTTAATGTACTCGAGTTGTGTTCAAAAAATTGGAGTTTTTAGTTTTGGAAATGAATTATCAATTTATTCGTCTACATAAGTGGTGTTTCCTGCAAAATAGCGCGATTGTGCTAGCGCTTCTTCAAATCCTCGAAACATTTCTCAAACTCGATCCTTAGTTATCTCCGCTTTATCCTTTCAATATCATCTACAGCACCGTTTAAGGTTCTACTTACTTTTGTAAAAGTCTCACAAAACCAGACCAAGGAATGTGGCTGCTGCGATATCGTTTGGCGAAAAATTTTCGAACATCAATAAAGCAACGAATTGCGAAAGCCATTAACTGTTTTAAGATACCTTCAGTCATTTTCGGAGAACGCAGTGAGCATATCCAGCACGTTCTACTGCACTTTTCAAGAATTTTTCGGCGAATACAAATCTTCCCCTGCGATGATTGAGCTTAAGTTTCAACGTCATTAATTTAATATCATCATTGATAGCCATCATTGACGTTATTTAGTGATTTCTGAGCAATTTGAGGCCCGTGCTGCTTTTGCAAAATTCAACAATTCAAAAAAAAATAATTAAGTTGTTAATATGCTAAGCACCCAGAGCTCAGTTCTTTTGGCATCTTTGACGTCTTCATGACCTACTTAGAATCGCTTATACTGCCCATAAGCATTGGCTTTACGTTTCGTAAGAGATCCACCATCGCTTTTTGTTAAAATCTCAAACATTTTTTTTACGACGAGCCTAGCGTTGCCCAACTCCCGCCCAACCGGCCGAGTGGCGCGTCTCCAGGATAATTCCAAAATCCAACAGACCGGTGACCGAAAACTAGTGACAATCCGGAATGCCCTAAACTCGAGACCGATCTCGGAAGGTCGCTGTTACCCTTGCCTCTTTCACAAACCAGCTACAGATTTGCTCATCTATGTAAAAGTGTCCTACATAACGTTGTTTGTATTGTCTAAAGTGTCTAGATAACCTCTAAGGGATAATAAAATTAAGCTCGCTCGAGTGGACGATGGAATACCTCTTATTAATTTTTTTGAAAATAAAACTCCAAGCATCTTCTATGGCTATTTTTGAAAAAACATCGTAGTTTTCGTATGCAAGATTTTTTTCTTGCTTTACCTTGTGGCCTCTAAATTAACTTAACAAGTCCATGCTAGTTCTCAAATACAAACATTACCTTTTGCAGAAATCCGCTCTATACTTATGTCTTGCCGTTACGCTCAGCTACGCGGCGAATGCTGCCCTACTGCCGCGTTACGCGCCGCCGCAATACTATCATTATCCTACACCGCGACGCCAACTCACCATACCCGTCGCAGTGCCGCAGCAACAACAATACACACGCTATGTACAGCAAACGAATTACGTACAACCGCAACAACAACAACAAGAACAGCAATACCAGTCCACCAAGTCATACTACCAACAACAAGTCCAACAAGCTGCCAATGTTGTTCAAAAATTCTCCGCGCCAGCGCTAGAAAATGCTGCCTTCACATCAGCCTTGACCAATCAAGGTTACACATACGGCGGTAACGGACATGCCTCCACAATTTCAGCAGCGCGCGCACTGCCGTCTGCATTAACCTTGCCGGCATCCATTGCTGCCGAAGTAGCTGCTGAGGAAAGCAATACCAATGCCGCGGCGGCAGGCGCTATTGATTCTTCCGATTCTTCGATTAATCTGAAGTTACCGTTACCCATTAATATAGCGCCCATCAAGGTGCAACCACTGCCATTGCAGGCGGGTGCTTCTTTCAGCGAATTAGCTAATGCCGTCACCTCGTATGGTACCGTTTATCCACAGCGTAAGCGCCGATGAAGACTTTAACAGATATGATGTGTTGCTGCTTCTGCTGCTGTTGCTGCAGCAAAAAGTTACGCTGGTGCTAGAGAAGCTATTTTTTTTGGGTTAATTTTATTTTCTTCAACAACAACCAGAAGAACAACAACACCAACAACAAGAAGAAGAACAACAAAAAGTAGTACAACAGCAGATATTTTGCTGCTTTTGTGGTTATTTAGCTGAAGCGCCTAAGCGCACAACTGAACCGGCGCGCACAAGTCATAGTTTAAGTTCGATACGGTAGCGCAATGTGTGGTAATTGCTCTCGCTGTATTTAAATTAAGTAAATCTTAAATATAAATCTAGCACGATTTGCCAATATATTCGAAGATTGTAGTGATGACGCAGCTGAAAATTTACTTTAAGGAGCTATAGCTTTTTGGTTTCATATTTTTATTTTATTATGATACACCTTTTAATATTGATTTTATTTTATTAAAACTTTAGCTAAATTTTTATTTTTTTTTATTTTTTTTATTTTTATTTTTTTTTTTTTTGAGTAATATTTTACACGATTTTTTTATCTTAAACTATTATTTGTTATTTCGAGATTTGTTTAATTTTTTATTTTTTATTTTTTTCTTTTTATTGTAAGTTTTTATCATTGTGTTTAAGTGTTTTTGTAGACCATATTTGCAGTGAAAGTTTTTCAAAAATTAGATTTTTTGCCTGATCTTTTTACAGCAACGGTTTTCATCATTTTAATATACATTAGCCTTAACTAAATGTATTTATAAAAATTTTTATTTTTTGTTTATTTGATTTTCCCTTTTGTTTAAACTTACGTTTTTAGTTTGCATTTTTCATTTGTATTTTTTACTAGTAGAAAAAAATTTTGGAAGAAAAAAAATTTAAAAAAAATATTTAAAAAAAAAAATTAAAGAAAAAATTGAGTTAAATTAGCTAGTAAAGCTAGTCTTATTTTATCACTAATTTAACTTAATTTTAATTTTTATTTGTTTTCATCAAATATTTTCTTCCAAAACGGTAGAATTTTCATTAATTTTTGTAATATTTTTTTTTTTACTTTCAACCTTAATTTTTATTTGTTTGTTTTTCAGCTTTTATTTTCAATGAATATAGATATAAATTTTAAAAGAACTTATTTTTCATTAATTTTGAAATTAATTAACATTTTTTTTAATACTTCAAACATTTTTTTATTAATTTTGTTAAATCGCAATTATTTTACGAACTTTTCGAAATATTAAGCTAAATTTTCACTTTTGTTCGCTTACTTAAATTCTTCTTCTTTCTTAGTTTTCCATATTCAACGCTTTCATTTAAGACTTTAAAAACTTTTTTTTAGAGTTGTTTTAATTTGTATAAAATAATTACTCTATTAAGTTTTAAAAAATTTAAAATTTCGAATTTAATGTTTTTAATCTTTTTACAAGCAAAAATTTTTAAAATGTTTTTATTTCTTAATTTCTTAATTTTTGGTCTAATTTCGCCTTTACCTTATTTGTGTCGCACTCAGTTCGTATGAATGTATGTAGCTTTACAAGTGGTTAATTAAAAATACTTGCCATACTTTTTACATATCGAAAAAAAAGAAACAAATACAAAACGAAAAAATAAAACAACAAATTAAAACAAAAACAAAAATTAATAGCGTGTGACTTTTTCTCGAAGATTTGTAAATTAGTATCATCAACATATTAATCCCTTCACTGCAATACAGTTTCGACAGTATCTAACGGCGAGCGGATGTGTGCGCTCAAAGGCATTCGATGATATCTTATGCCGCTTCGTTTCGTTTGTTGTTGGTTTTTGGAGGTCGTTGAAAATGCTAATACAAAAATAAAAAAAAAACCACAGTAATTATGCATTCACGCATTTGTGCGTGTATGTGTATGTGTATATGCATGGAATATTTTTTCACTGAAAACTCGTTCAAATCAACAACTTTGTTGTTGTTATAGTATGCACTATTTAAATAAATATATAAAAATATTTAGAAAATCATTGAAACATATCAAAACACTTCAACTACAAATACAATAAAATAGTAAATTTGAAGGCTTTATTTATATCCATTTACATATATATGTACGTTTGTATGCGATTATGAGCTTTACATATAGTTTAATAATTAATTTTTACCATTCACATTGACATATTTATTGCTTTACCATTGTTTATGGCATGCTGCCAATACAAATACAATGAACTATATAAAACCGTAGCGCTGAAATGCTGAAGTTTGCAAAAAAAAAAAAAGAAAATGTTAATAATAATTCAATTTAATTTTTTTTTGGGTTACGGTTATTTGTATATGAGCATAATGGCATTATTTACTATGTCTTCACATCACAATACGTCGCGCGTTCATTAATCTTCAAAGTTATTCGCTCGTTTTTTTTTGTTGTTTTTTTTTTTTTTTTTTTGTTGCTACTGCCAATTGCCAGTCGGTTGGGAGTCACATGTTTGCAGTTTTCCTTCATTTTTTTTTTGTTTTTTGGTTTTTATTTATTTTTTTTATTTATTTTTTTTTTTAAGTTGAACCCTTTCACTTTTCAAACGTCGCTTTTACTAAAATTTCAAGTTTCAGTGATGCCACTCTTTCTACTCAGGGTGACGTCTGAAATCGAGTTTGGCCGCTAACATGAAATCCTTATGATAAATATTTTAATTATACTCGTATGCGAATAACATGAAATGAAAAATTACTTGCTGATCGAGAATTCTGCTGTTGTTATTGTTGTTTACTCGTATGTACTGTTATCGTTTATATTTGCTTAAATTATATGCGAAATATGCAGTTCTAATGAATTCATGCAATACATAAATAAATAAATCTTCTTAAACTGAAATAAATAACTTCTATAAACTTTGGGTTGGTTAAATTTGCGACAAAATAAATAAAATACTTTTTATAGGATATAGAAACGAAAAGGCATCAAATCTACTCTGATAGCATGAAATTACTAAAAAAAAACTATTTCCTCTGCTTACTTTAAGAATTTGAATCGGGATTAAATATCTATAATCTTCCTTCTTGTACTAAGTGTTTGTTACTTGTAAGTCCTCTCCCGCTTCCCTGTCGTAAAGCAATCTTCTTCTTATTCATTGACGTAGCCAGTGCTTAGCAGGAACTGGCGCTTAAAACCAAATATTGTTGTGTTGATGTATGAGGCGGTTTTCGAGCCCATACTAACATATGGAGCGGTGGTTACGCTGCTTAGGAAACTTGGAAAAAAATAGGAGTAGCCTCCGCAATTATTATAGGTTTGAAGCCAACAGATACTCTTAGCATGCTCGAGTATCAATCGTATGTAAACAGCTTTATTCGGAATGCTGCATAAATCTCTGGAATGGGGCTGTTGGAGCCAAAAGCAGCTTAGATATATCGACATGTTAAATCAATTCATAATTCCTTTAAGTTTGTCAGACTATATCATTTTAGTTTAAAATCTAGCCGATTTCAGTAGAGGATAACTTCAAGACATTAATAGAGAAAATGTTTCGTATGAGGGTAGAACACCATCTCTATCTACACCTACGTATCCAAAAAAGGCTATGTATACTCCAAAGAACTCTAAATCTATCTTTATGTCTACCAAATAAAGCTAGCTTCATCCATTTGGAAGTATTAGGTATAGAAAGGCCCTGACATCTTCTGATGAGCGACATCAATTGTCACCACCGATGAATTCAAGCATCGTTAAAAATTGCAGGAAGACTCTAAGCTCGCAGGCAGGTCTTCTCCGCAATATCGGTTCCCAGCCATAGGAATATTTTCGTAACGCAAAATCGGTTTATCTGTCAATAGCAGAAGCAATTTTTGATGAATATGAAGCGGAATTAATACCATGTCCGATAGTAAGAATTAAGACGGAAATTAATTAAAAACTTAAAAAAAGGGATGTAAATTTATAGCCGAGTGCTAGATAACCAAATTTGACTCTAGTATGACATGAAAAACCCCGAGAACATATTTAACAGGGCTAGAAAGAGCAGCTTTTACAAAGATTCTTCATAAAATAGCGGGAATGCATCAGGTTTCGAGCCTTCCATGGCAGCCCACAAAATGCATAACAGATTATAAGTGGTTTCATTGAGAGAACCAAATGGTTTTAACGTAACGAGGAAACGTAATCCCAGGATTACCAAGGTCTTTGCGATAGTGCATTCTGATGCCCTACTTTTTTACTTTTCGCATAACACTATTACCTACATACCTATCTACCTAATAGTAGGCTCTATTTCCAATCACAATTTTTTTCCTGAAAACTTCTAAATAAAATTTCTAAAAATTTATTTGTGACTGACATATGTTTGTGTGTACATATCTTTCTTTTTCTTTTTAGAAAATTTTTTAAATTTTTAACTAAAATCTTTTAAATTGTAAAATTTGTAATAATAGTTTGAGGCCCCAAATGACAGATTTAGATCTAACTGGGATGAGTATACAATAAGCTCACAACCATGAGCCATTCATTGGTTCTTTAGAGAGCTTGTGTCTTAAACTACTCTTTCAACCCATCTGGAACCAAATTTTGAATGGTCACCCACTTTCAGCGGATGGAATATTTTATAGTGGAATATGAAGCTTTTACGACGTATGAAAAATTTCGTATATAGTATATATAGTGCTAATAGAGCACGGAGCTATAATGACTCGTGCAGTACTCTTACATACTTGCCTACTTTGTGTTATTATAAAGAAACCAAACTATTGATTTCAATGTCCATTCTGACAACTACCGAAACTGAATGAAGAAATCAAGGAAAAATTCTCTTATCGCTTAGGTTGAAAATACTCCCTTTGATAACACTTCAAAAATTATCAGAACTCAACTGGAAACTAATGTCACATTCAGCTTATAGGTCAGATTTAGTATTCACAAGGCTGTGATAAGAAGACGCTGAAACCAAACTTATGCAGTTTTTCCTTCCTAAAAGAATAAATCTTCTTCGAGTATGGAATTTTTTAGCTTAACAAAAGACGAGACTCTGTCGTCTAACGTATGCCGATGCGTAAACAACCACGACGTTACTTCTGCCTTGACAAAGTAGTGAAGCGAAGGATAGGAGTCTGGTAGTGAAGGAGGACAAGACGAAATATCTCCCGCTGTTGGAAGCAGAGAAGCAGAGGCGGAGGAAGACCTTCACTCTGTTGCAAAGATCAGATGGAGAGAAGTCTGGCTTCATTTGGTATTTCCAACTGACCGAAACAGCGAAGAGATTCTGCTGAAATCATATACGGAAGTTGTTTCTTTCAATATTTACTATAAAAACTAGGTTATAGGGGCTTAATCATGACCGTCTTTTTTTTAAATTGCGATCTGTATTAAATTGTTCAGTGTTGAGAGTAACTTTTGTTTTTCATAATCAAATTTATTGCCAGTAAATATGATTTTATTATTTCGTACGAGCTCATCTTT